GAGTATCATAGGCGAATCTAACGGAACATGTTGCGCACGATCGTGGGAAGCTGCATGCGCACAGAAGCACTGGAAACCTCGGTGGAATCTGACAATAACTCTAGGACGCTAGGAAGCCTTCGATTCTCAACCCCACTAAACCCTAAACCTTGAACCCTAAACCCCAACAGTAAGCCCTAAGAACCCTGCCAGTTTCAAGCCAGCAGCACAACAATTCCGTCCGCAAGCATTGATATTTCGCAATGCGATTCCTGGGATCCCCCTATTGTAACTAAGTTATAGTGTATTACCCCGAAGCAGCTATTCAATCTTCAATCCTGCCACTAAACGTGAGCGACTGCTGAATCCGAACCCCTAGCTCATAACATAGTGATCTGAACGATTGCCGATACTACTGCAACAAAGAGCTTTTAATATCATGTAGGCATAAGCTTGTGTTGCGAGAGGTGAAGCGCCACATGGCTTTGGCCCTCCAAGCACAGCCCAAAGCGGTTCAGGTCCCGGCCTCACATGTGTGTGTGTGTGTGTGTCTGTGTGTCTGTGTGTCAGCCCTATTGCCAGAGTAGGCCCTTATTCCCTTTTTTAGGGTTTAGGTTACCTTATAATCCCCTTTAAACCAAAAAGGGCACCCTTTTTATTCCTAGGTTACTCTAATGTCTAGAAACCCGTAGAAGCCCCATAGCGGTCCAGGTATTCAGGAAGTAATGTGAAGGTGCCAACCCCGACATTCAGAGCATGATGTTTTAAGACTTAAAGCCGCTGAACCCTCTAGAATCCTGCTGCCGAGCCCAACGGATCCCTCATTGCCCGTTTTGAACAATGAAAGAGCCTTGTGTAATAGCCTTACACCGGCAGTACGGGGATCCTTGTCCTGCCGGGGATCTATTCTGAGTTGGGGGCTTGTCATCCACCCACCCATCGAATTGCAGCGGTCTCTTGTCAGTCATGTCATCATGTGCAGTAATGGCAGTAATACTCATCACCGCAAGGGTTCAAGACACTGCAGTAGCATGGGCCATCAAAGCCGGGTTTAACAGGCTACTGGAAGCACTTGTTTTCAGCCTCGCCTGAAACTCACATTCCACACTTATATGAACAGTGAACCTTACACTTTGAAGCATCAAAAACCTTGAGGAATCAATCCTAAACCCAAACCCTATAAAGATCTTATGTGAACCCGATACATGTCTGTACGATCTTCATATAATATTCCCCAAACCCTAGATAAACCTTAAGCCCAACGCTTTATAGACCCTGCATAGAAACCCGCGAGAACCCTTAAAAAGCCGTTTGAGGGAACCCCGAACCTGCCAGGTCTGGCACGAGATAAAACCCATTTGAGCCCGATATCATCCCGGTAAACCTTGCACCCTAATCCCTAGATAAACCTTGTTTGAACCACATCAACTGTATAGAATAGGGTTTTGTTGCCCGTTGTACTAAACATATAATAAGGAACCCTTCAAAATACTATTGGTACTTATGTAGGTCCCTATATTATAGTACCCTTATAGACCTCTTGTTACAATTCTTATAGACCCCTCTACAGGAACCCTAGTAACCCTATAGGTACTTATTTAGGCCCCTCTAAACCCTAAACCCTAAGCAACCTCGAGGTTAGTAGTAGTAGTAGTAGTAGTAGTAGTAGTAGTAGTAGTAGTAGTAGTAGTAGTAGTAGTCGTAGTAGTAGTAGTAGTAGTAGTAGTAGTAGTAGGAGCAGTAGTAGGAGTAGTTAGTAGTAGTAGTAGTAGTAGTAGTAGTAGTAGTAGTAGTAGTAGTAGTAGTAGTAGTAGTAGTAGTAGTAGTAGTAGTAGTAGTAGTAGTAGTAGTAGTAGTAGTAGTAGTAGTAGTAGTAGTAGTAGTATAGTAGTAGTAGTAGTAGTAGTAGTAGTAGTAGTAGTAGTATAGTAGTAGTAGTTATAGTAGTAGTAGTAGTAGTAGTAGTAGTAGTAGTAGTAGTAGTAGTAGTAGTAGTAGTAGTAGTAGTAGTAGTAGTAGTAATAGTAGTAGTAGTAGTAGTAGTAGTAGTAGTAGTAGTAGTAGTAGTAGTAGTAGTAGTAGTAGTAGTAGTAGTAGTAGTAGTAGTAGTAGTAGTTATTTAGGCCCCGATCTCATCAACGCGTAGTTTCGAGGTCTGGATGGAGGTCTGCCGGACCCTGGAGGAACATGCTTAGTAAGTAAGGTTATAAGTACCCTAATTGGAGTTATAAGTATAGTTACCTTATTTATAACCCTAGTTACTAAGTCCCGTGATCCTTCAAGTAAGCCCTAAACCCTAAATCCCTATAGATCCCCTTATAGAACCCTTTAAAGAGAGCCCCTTAAGGAACCCTTTAAGGAACCCTAAGTCCCATGATCCTCCAAGTAAGTAGCCTCGAGGTCTGGATGGAGGTGTGCCGGACCTTGGAGGAACTCGGAGAGTTGGAGGACTGCCGGGCGCCACGAAGTGAGAGGAGTGAGCTGATAAGGGACCCTACTGTTGATGATAGAACTCCTGCATGACCCATAATACGGAATCTACGTAATGCAGGGTTTGGAGTACCATACTTGAATACTTTTTTTGGTATCTGTTCCTTAAAGGAACCATTATGAATTTAAGTCTATACTTTTTTCTCGCTGGTTACTTCAAAGTCCAGAAGGAGTTAGCTGATTAGGGACCCTAGGGACCCAGAAAGCACATAAGCATACGCATTTGATGGGGGTATCTCTACCTTACTGGGCTTCATTATAAAGGTGGGTTATATGGGATATCCCTCTCCTAGCACCCCCCCCAATCGCTCTTTAATAGGTCCCTTATGGCCCTTAATCGTGGGTGTTTGGGATATATTAGAAGATAGTTGGGGGGGTCTAGGATTAGGGACTCCTTTCTAACGGCTTAAATAAAGGGCTTGACCGTAGACCTTAAATCCTCGCTAAAAGGGGCAAGGGGGTTGGTAAGGATTGCATAAGGGTTTGTTGACGGATTTGATGAGAGTTTTCTTGAAGTCCAAGGGTAAAAGGAGCGACCCTTAATAAGGACCCCTAGGTAACATACCCTTAATAGAGCCATTATATAGCCATTATATAGCCCATTATAGGGTAGGGGTCCCCATTCAGGGTCCCTCCTTGTCCCCTTTGATGAAGGGCTCCTTTACGAGCCTTTCGAGGCTTCTCGGAGAGTGCTGAATTGAGTCTACAAGGTTCCTTACAGGCTTCTGTAAGGCATCGGAGGGTTCTCAAAGGGCTTGATGTTTCAAGTCATAAGGAATACATCTATGTATGTGTTGTGTATATACATATATATATATGTACAGTATGTACACACACGCACATTTCTGAAGATTGTACAGGTTATTACTCGCGTGAAGGATTCTCAAGGAGTTCTAGAAGGGGCCAGCAAGGACCGTTAAAGCCCTAAATCAGGGGTTGCCTGGGTTCGAAGGGGTCAGCGGTCGATAAGGGTGTATTGCAGGCTTCTATAAGGGAGTGATAAGCGTGCTTGAAGGGAGTGTTCAAAGGGTTCTAGATAGGTCCTCACAAGGTTCCATAACGGGTCTACAAGGATCGTTAAAGAGTTCGGAAAGGGATGCGGGGGGGAGGGCTTAGGGGCTTATGCGGTTTAGGGTAAACCATCTGAGGTTTCGGGTCTACTTGAATGTGGTTCGGAAAGGTTGTCTGCGAGGATTGATTAATTGTTGAGTTTTCTATGGGTTGTGTGCAGTGATAATCACGGCTACTGAATAGGTTTAATGAGGGCTGAGCGGCTCGCGGCTTCATGGTTTAGTCCCCTCATGCGCTTGTAATCTTGATCCAGGATCCAGGAGACTGTTGATGATGTCTCTTCATAGACGGTGTCTTTAAGCTAGAATCCCCCAATCCCTAAACCCTAGGTTTAGGGTTTAGGGGTTTAGGGTTTAGGGTTTAGGGGTTTAGGGTTTAGGGTTTAGGGCCAGCTTAGCTGGAAAGTGCCCAGAGACTCCAAAACCCCTTAATTAAGGAACATACCTTGAATCATATTACGGATCCTATTTTAATTTAGGGTTTGTTCCTTAATTGAGGGGTTTTGGAGTCTCTGGGTGTAGTCTTTCTCGCTGGAGAAGCTCGGGGCACATCGACAACATCCTGTTCTTCCCAGCGATGCAGAGTGCGATGCCCGTCTTCAGCCATGATCTTTGGGACAGCCGCCGACAGAGCATTCCGGGTGATTTCAGAGGTCATCCGGTAGCGGCGCTCGCTCGGAGGGTCCCGCGAGTGCAGGGTTGCAGCGCATGGCAAAATGCGATGCCCATCTTCAGCCATGATCTTTGGGACAGCCGCCGACAGAGCATTCCCGGTGATTTCAAATGTCATCCGGTAGCGGCGCTCGCTCGGAGGGTCCCGCGAGTACAGGGTTGCCGCGCATGGCGCTGCCAAGCCAGTCAGCTGCAAAGATGTTCACGTGGGCCTTGAAGCCCAATGTGAGGCCGCGTGCAGCGAAGTACGCCGGGCGAGAAGGAGTCCTCGAGGCACTTTTGGAAAGTCTGCAACCTCGCTAGGGTATTTTTCTGTTGTGGGAGCTTGGAACTGCTTGTCGTGCATCCAAGCTCGTTGGCACAAGTTTGCAAGAGTACCATTGTAGCTTACCAGGAACAGCCACCAGCTCATCCAGTAAGCCTTTCAAAATTAACGAGAATGTCTTCAAAAACATGTTGCATCATCAAGTAGGATAAACAGTTTTGCACACATTCTCAAGCAGCAACCCTAGATTTCCAAAGATTGTAAATCCCACACCTAAACCTGAACCGTAAACCCCAAACCCTAAACCCTAAACCCCGAAGCCTTACGAAAGTCAGTGACTGCAGACTGCATCATTGACTCTAGTTCTGAGCCGACTCCCCAGGCACACGAAGAGACCTTCACCCTAACTTAAAACAACAACCTAAAGCCTAAAACCCTAAAGCCCTAAACCCTAAACCCTAAAGCCCTAAACCCCAGAGATCCCTTAAAAGGAACCCCTAAGATCCTTGAATTGGTTTCCCGAGGTCGCTTCCTCTTGGAGCGCGGCCTCCAGTGCAATCCGTCCGAGCAGCTGGCGGTGAGACTGGTGCGATGCCTCAGCTTCCTGGTTCAGGGCTTTAGGGATTAGGGGTTTAGAAAATTGAGGGCACCCTAAACCCAAAACCCTAAACCCTAAACCCTGGGTTTAGGGTTTAGGGTTTAGGGTTCAGCTTCTTTGACTTTGGAAATTTCGAGTCAAGCTATTTCAAGTCAAAACCCCACCCGCCCAAAGGTTCCCCTCACATTATGAAATAACAATCTTTATTTTATATTCGGATGGAATACGATTCTTCTTCGGAACTTTTTTCAATAATACTTTAAACCCTAGGCCCTAAACGTAAGGCCCTAAACCCTAGGCCCTAAACCTAAGGCCCCAAACCCTAGGCCTTAAACCTAAGGCTAAACCCTAGGCCCTTTCCGTAAGGCCCTAGACCCTAGGAAGGCCCTAAACCTAAGGCCCTAAACCCCTAAACCCTAGTGCCCAAACCCTAGGCTCTACACCCTAAACCCTAGTGCCCAAATTCTAGGCCAAACCCTAGGCGCCAAACCCTAGGGCTCGGGGAGGGGGGAGAGGGGGAGGGGGGAGGGGGGAAGGGGGGGGAAGGGGGAGGGAGGGAGGGAGGAGAGGGAGAGGGGGGGGGAGGGGGGGCCCCTAAATTTAGGGGAGGCCCTAAACCCTAGGCCCTAAACGTAAAGCCCTAAACCTAGGGCTAACGGTTTAGAGCATCAGTGACCACGAAGATTGATGAAGTGACCACGAAGATTGATGAAGTGACCACGAAGATTGATGAAGTGACCACGAAGATTGATGAAGTGACCACGAAGATTGATGAAGTGACCACGAAGATTGATGAAGTCAACAGCTGAAAACGTCAAGTGACCACGAAGCCATTAAGGTTTAAATTACTATAGGTAGAGAGGTTTAGGGTTTAGGATTTAGGGTTTATGGTTTAGGGATTAGGGTTTAGGGTTTAGGGTTTGGGGCTTAGGGTTTTAGGGATTAGGGTTTAGGGATTAGGGTTTAGGGTTTAGGGTTTAGGGCTTTAGGGATTAGGGGTCTATAAAATTGAGGGTTCAGGGCTTTAGGGATTAGGGGTTTAGAAAATTTAGGGTTCAGGGGTTTAGGGGTTAGGGGTTTAACAAAAATCAGGTTTAGGGGTTTAGGGGTTCAAAGATTTAGGGTTTAGGGGTGTAAGAATTTAGGGTTTAGAGGTTTAGGGGTTTAACATTTTAGGGTTTAGGGGCTTAGGGATTTTTTGGGCCTTAAGCTTCCTCTTGGAGGTTTCACGGGTCCAGGGCTTACCGGCACCCCTCAACTACCTTCTAGAATACCCTAAATTCCAATTCTTAAGGACCATAAGAGCTCTATTAAAGGGTACTCGGGGAAGGTGGGTTATCAGGGATGTTTTTGGAACTTCAGGATTCTACGAGGTGCACCTGCGCAGCTGAGGGGTTCGAAATGATCCCTTCTATATAGAAGCCCTTAGAGGAGCCCTTAAAGGATCCCTTATAGAAACCCTCAGAGGAATCCCTTAAAGGATCCCTTATAAAGATTCGGACCCATGATTAGAGCATAAAGCCGAATCCGCTCATCCTTCACTCTAAGCCTCGCGTCGCCACAAACCGTACCTTAACCTACCAAAACCTACAAAAAAGTAGGGTCCCTATAAATCTCATATTAGGGTTTATAATAAGTACCTACAAAAAGGTAGGGTTTGGTAGGCTAAGGTAGTTACTACTACCAGCCCAAGCCCAAAAGCCCCAAACCCCGAACCTGAGCCTTATACACCTCGAGCCCTCAAGCCTGAACCCCATAGAAATCCGGCACTCAAGCCCTAACTACTGTGACCCCCAAGTAGGCTACCTTTCGAAGGGCTTGCTGAGGAAATGATGATAAAGGGCCCGAACTCTGCAGGTTCCTGTTTGGGATTACCTGATAGGTTTCTACATATGAACCCCAAAAAGGAACTACTATGGGGCCTATGGGTAGACCTTAGAGCAGTCTCACATATGTACCTTCTTAATGCCGAAGTATGTACTGTCTGGGTGCGTGGATGCCTGGGGCTAGTCGAAGAGTTCGTGATGTAGTACTTGGAGGTTCATGGGTATTTATATTTGGGGTTTTAAGTGGGATGACTATAGTTATAAACCATATTAGAAGACTTAACGCCCTTCTTTATAACTACCCATGAACCTCCAAGTAGACGCTGTTAACAAACCCCACTGTCAAGTGCCTCAAGATCAGGTCGGAGCAGTCCATACTGCTGGGCTCCGCAAAACAGACCCCAGGGCCCCTGAACCCTAAGGCTCCATGTACCGATATAGGGTTCCTTTAATGGGTTCCTTCTAAGGGGTTCCGTTTAAGGTTTCTTATAGGGTTTAGGGTATAAGGGTCCATGGTACCCATATAGTATATACTTAGGCCTTAAGGTACCTATATAGGGACTACTTTGGGGCTTAAGTATCTACTTTTAACGGTACGTGGAGCCTTTGGGAAAATGAGGAATGCTGTTGCTCCTGCACACTTGGGTTCCCCGTTAGAACACCCCGAGCTTTGGAATCTCAGGTGCGTGTACTGGAGCGGCAGGGAGACATGCAGGCCAGCAGGTTGGTAGTGGATAGGGCTTAAGGGTTTGTTGAGTACGGCCCCCACTCAGTAACAGTTGGATAATATTCATAATATAGATATATAATTAAGGCCATTAACAGTAGCCCTATTATAGACTGTTACTGTATGGGGGCCGTACCCAAGTTTAGGGTTTATTGCATGGTGGTTATGCTCTTTGAGGCTCCATGATGTTATTTGTTTGTTCTTCGTGGCTCCGAAGAGTTTTCTGGAGATCCACGAACTGCTGTTGATGGACAACAACCTAGGCTTCCTTTAAAGGGATCTATAAGGGTACCTTTAAGGGGTTTCTTTAAGGGATCTATAGGGTTTTAGGGTTTATAGGGTTGGTGATATAAATCCTACATGACCCTAAGGACTCTAAACTATGGGAACTATGGTATATTCCTTGTAATGGGTAATGCAGGATTTTGTCCATCAGCAGTATGTTATTCGATGCGCAGCAACCCTGAACCATAAACCTTTATGGGCTATATGGGGCTTTATAAGGTCTTCAAGCTTTAAAGAGTTTGATGGCGCCCCTTTCCTTTTTGCAATGGTTTGACGGTTTAGGGTTCAGGGTTTGGGGTTTAGGATAGATGTTGTGATCAAGTTTCATGCCTCAACCATCGACGGAGGGTTTTGGGTCGGGTTAATAGTCACACCAGTGTACAACCCAAAAGCCTGTGCAAAACTTAACAACCGCGTTAGCCAGGAACCCCCAAACTCTAAACCCTAAACCCTAAGCAGGCTTGCAGAACTTGTAGGTTTTAGAGTTTAGGGTTCAGGGTTAAGAGCTAGGGTTTAAGAAAGAGTCTCCAGAACCCGAGGGGTCCATGTACCTAAACTTTAAATGCTTTAGCCTCAAAGCAGTCCCTGTTCAGGTACTTCGGGCCAAAGTATATGCTATTTGAATACGGCTTGGGCGTCAACCCCTTGAGCCCTCAACCTGAAACCCTAAACTCCCTGACCCCTCAACCCTAAACCTTAAACCACTATAGGATCCCTCATACTAATTCTTATACAGACCCCGTAAATCACCCGCAAAAATAATCCCTAAACCCCTCAACCCTAAAACCCCCTGAGCCCTCAACCTGAAACCCTGAACTCCCTCAACCCTAAACCTTAAACACTATAGGATCCCTCATACTAAGCCTTATATAGACCCCTTAAAGCACCCCCAAAAAAATAATCCCTAAACCCCTAAACCCTAAACCCCCTGAGCCCTCAACCCTAAACCTCAAACTCTAAACCCTAAGCCCCTTGAAACCCCAACCTTAAACTCTTTATAGCACCCCTCATAGTAACCCTTATCGACCCCGTGAAGAAACCTCAATCCCTCGATTAGACCCTGTTTGAGGGTACAAGGAGGGTCCTTAAACTCAACCCTAAACCTTAAACTCTAAACCTCAAAGCTTCAACCCTAAGCCTTACCAGCCCTTCAAAGGAACCTTCATTTCTTTTATGAAGCACCCCCAAAATAAATCCCTAAACCCCTCAACCCTATACCCTGATCCCCCTGAGCCTTCGACCCTAAACCTTCAAGCACCTTCAAAGATAATCCCTAAACCTTGTCTACTTGGAGGGGCAGGGGACTTAGTAAGTCGTTTATAAGTAGGGTTATGATTGGGGTACCTCCATTTAGGGTACTTATAACTCTACTTATAACCTACATACTAAGTCCCCTGCCCCCAGGTAAACCTGAAACTCGTTTTGCAAGGCTCTCCGGAGTCTCCTCGGCTCCCTCCGCGGCGAGGCTTTGGAGAAGACGCAGAAGGCGGAGCTCGGGGTGTTTAGGGCTTTACGGGTTCCGTTTAGGGTTTCTTTAAGGGGTCCTATAAGGCTTAATTATATGGGTTCTAGAGGGTTTAGGATTTAGGAGAATTCTGTTGCTTGAGGTCCGTTTCACAAGATTTCTTAGAGTTTTCTTAGATTTGTTGCGAGAGCTGTTTAAATAGTGTAAGGCCTATTGTGGACGTTTTTGGATGCTGTAAGGGTGTTTGTAATGTGATGTCGGGAGCTTTCAATAGGGTCAAAGATCGTGAAAGTCTGATTCTTTTTACATCATCTCGCAATTTGATTTTGTGGTGGGTGTATGGCGTAGGGTTTGTATTTAAAGTGCACTGCTTAAGCATCATGGAACCGGACAGACAGGATATAGGTGCAGTTCCCCCTGGCAGGGGTATTGAAAAAGTAAGGTCATCTAATCTAAGCAGGGTCCTTAGATGCCGGAAATCCCATTTCATCCACCCAGCCCTAAAGCCCTAAAACCCTAAACCCTAAACCCTAAACCCTTAACCCTAAACCCTAAACCCTAAACCCTAAACCCTAAACCCTAAACCCTAAACCCTAAAGCCCTAAAGCCCTAAAGCCCTAAAGCCCTAAAACCCTTAACCCCAGAACCTCGATCCCCTAGCGACCTCAGCTGACGCCAGTCCTTGATTAGATCTTGCTTCAGTGGCGCTTCGAAGCACCTGTTCCCAAGACAGCCACAAGGTAGGTTCCTAGTTTGGCCACTTTTAGAAAGGCGCTTTCTCAGTCTTCCCTTGAACATGATTTTCCAACTAAACCCTGAACCCTAAACCTCAACTCATCCGTAGTACCAAGTCCTTGTAAGTCCTGATGAAACCCTAAAGTCCAAGGCTCCCTGGAAAACCCGAAACCCTAAACCCCCTTAAAAGGAGCGAGTAAACAAAATAGAAAGCAAAAACCCTTAAGGGGTCTAGGGCCCTAACTATAAGGAACTTGGAGGCAGTGGGTTGTACTTTAGAGCAAAGCCCAAAGGCTCCATGTACCGTTATAGTAGATACTTAAGCTCCAAAGTAGTCCCTATATAGGTACTTTAAGGCCTAAGTATTTACTATATGGGTACATGGAGCCCTAGGCAAAGACGATGCAATTGGAAGCCCTGCTCTTGGCTCCAGGTCATCATCGAAGCCGTCCACGCCGAGGCCGCCAAGCTCAAACGCTGAGACGCAAGGGCTTAGAGACCCCTATAAGCTTCTCTGATTCTGTTGATGATATAAATCCTGCATTACCTTAGGGACCCTAAACTATGGGAATTATGGTATATTCCTTTCTATGGGTAATGCAGGATTTATATCATCAACCGTTGTGATTGTTGTGGGTGTTTAGGATGATTTTGGCCCTAAACTAATAAGTAGGTCCTGCAGGGCTAAAATATATAGTATATACTTAGCCTGTTACAGTCGTCGTAGCCGTAGTCAGGAATTTGTAATCACTAGTAGTAATAATAGTAGTAGTAGTAGTAGTAGTAGTAGTAGTAGACTGAGGCTTGGACCTAAATTTTCAAACAACCCGTAAAGGGACGCTACAATGCGCTTAGATCAAGGCATGGTTCTTTGACGAGTTGCTTTGAGCTTGCAAGATTCCCGGCTCGAGGCTCTATGAATGAAGCTCTCTACATTACACAAGTAGAAGCCTATATGGGAGTTTCCGAAAATTAGGGGTATCTTATTTTGGGCCACCATAATCAGGATCCTACTATTTAGGGTACCAAAATACCATATTAGGTACCCCTATTTTCGGAAACTCCCATATAGTTACTGTAGAGGCTCAACCCTTCTGAAGCCGTCTCGCGTTGCATAAGACCCTGTGGAACCCTAAAGGTTCGCATGGGCCACGCCGAAGAAGCCAGAGCACTACTGCCACGTGCCCAGCTGTTACTTGGAGGGTCGGGGGAGTTAGTAACTGGTTATTTTAGGGACTTATAAGTACCATAACCCCAATTAGTGTCCCTTGTAGGGTACTTATAAGTCTACTTACTACCTCCTTACTAAGTCCCCCGACCCTCCAAGTAGTTTCTTTGTCGCTCTCGGGGCTTCTGGTTGCAGTCATAGCTGTTTCAGCTAATGACCTAAACACTCGAAATCAGGAACCCTAAACCCGAAACCCTAAGCCCTAAACCCACTTGATATCAGGACGGGGGTCCACACTTGACACACGGCCTTACGCATCGAGAGAAACTGTCGAGCATTTATGGCAACTAGAGATGCTTTAGTCGTACAGACCTCCGCAGCCTGTTTTGTAGGATGGGCCGTCCCAAAGAGTAGCGTTTTATTCAACCAACAACTAGTCAGGGTACGGCGAACAAAGCATTTGGGACCTAAGGCCCTAATACTCGTCATCTTGGGACTCTGGGAACGAGGAGTAGCATTTTTTCAACCAGCAAGCAGTCACCCTCAACCCCAAACCCAGGGTACAGTGACCCAAGGCGCTAGTGTTGAGGGCACTCGGACCGTCTGGAAGTTTAGGGTTCAGGGCTCTTGGGGTGCCTATGTTGGGGTCCTTATAACACAGATCCCACTATTTAGGGTAACAGGGTTTACAGGGTCCCCTGTTTTCGGAAACTCCGAAGTAGTCTAGATTGGTACTATATATATATATATATATATATATACACCTTGCACAGCCTGCACCTGGCGGGCCTATCCCCCAGCACTAGAACCAAAAGTCAAAAGCCTTAAGCCCCAAGCCCTACAACGCTGCACTGGACACCTAAAGAAAAAATCCTCCTGAACCCTAAACCCTAAACCCTAAACCCTTAAACCCTAAACCCTGAACCCTAAACCCTAAACCCTAAAACCCTAAACCCTGAACCCTGCGCCCGAAAGTCTCCTTGATTTCGGTCCACCAAGGCAGTGTCTCTTGAAGAGACTTCCGCAGCAGGGGCCCATCTATTGTGAGGTGGGCATCCCATATTTTGTGCTCTACCTGCGGGGTGCTGGTAAACCCTAAGCCCCTAATTCAAAACTTAACCTCTAAACCCCTAAACCCTAACCGCCCTAACCTCTAAACCCCTAAAACCCTAACCTCCAAACCCCTGAACCCTAAAACCCTAACCTCTAAACCCGTAAACCCCCTAACCTCCAAACCCCTAAACCCTAAAACCCTAACCTCTAAACTCCTAAAACCCTAGCCTCCCAACCCCTAAACCCTAAAACCCTAACCTCTAAACCCCTAACCTCCAAACCCTAAAACCCTAACCTCTAAACGCCTAAACCCCTAACCTCCAAACCCCTGAACCCTAAAACCCTAACCTCTAAACCCCTAAAACCCTAACCTCCAAACCCCTACACCCTAAAACCCTGACCTCTAAACCCGTAAAACCCTAAACCCCAAACCATAAACTCCCCCCTAAATCCAAGAGCATCTTGTCGGGCCCCTCGGATGCATGCGGTCGAGCCTTGCATCTACGGTCTACCAGAGCCCCAAGTACGTACCCTTTAATAGAGCCCTTATATGGTGCTTGCGGTGTAATAGAGGGTATTTGGGGGGCGCTGGTTGAGTTTAGAGTTTTGGGTCCTTTCGGGTTCAGGAAAAGACGCGCGCCCTTGCGCGAGTGTCTTCCCTTCCCGACATTTCTCAACGCTTTCTGGCTACGGGAAACCCCAAAGGGTCCTTCCCATTGTGCACGCAATTTGACCTGCAAAGGGTTCCTATGTGGGTTATGTGGGTATTTTTAAGGACAACGGCAGATACTGTATATGTAGATTTGGAGTTTCATGGCTCAGATTCTGTTGATGTTGAGGTGTAGGTTTCATAGTAGCTTCCGCACGTAAACAGAATGCCAATCTACCTATTATAATACATGGTTGCCGTAGAGATGGCCATATAATCTACCCCCCCCCCTTTGCTCCCATCTTGGCTTCTAGGGAACACCGCTTCGCACAGCCTTTTCAACATCTCACGCAACCCCGAAAAGCAGGCATGTCGCATTGAGAGCATCCTCGGCCACTGGCAGAAGGCGGGTTAGGGTTTAGGATGCATTGCCCACTTCTTGAAGCCAGGCGTCTCTGTCTTAGCCGAGTGGATTGGTACTGCAAGGGCCATCAGTATTTATGTCGTGGCCTTGCAGGTCTAACGGGACTCTTAGCTCATTTCAGCGCAAATCGGGACGCCGAAAGAGACTTCGTGCAAACCAGCGGTGCCAGTCTGTGGATAATGATGGTGATGACTCCAGACGAAGCCGCAATGTAGAACGGGCATCCTTGTTGAATGGCACCCAGAGGGCTCACTATGCCAATGCCATATTCGAAATATTCGAAAGAACCTTCCTTAACATGTGAACCCTAAGCCCTAAATCCCAGCCCTCAAACCTTAAACTTACGATCTAAGCCCAGAATCGTCTTCCCAATTGATGAGTGATGAGTGTTGCCGCACTTGGCACCGCTTGGGCTTTATGGCTGGAATAGGGCTTCGGGGGTAAACCCAGAGACTCCAAGACCTCTTAATCCAGGGATATACCTTAAATCATATTAGGGGTCTTATTATAATTTAAAGCATATTGCTTAATTAAGGGGTTTTGGAGTCTCTGGGTGTGCTCGCACCTAGGCTTTGCCTGGGTCCCACAACGAGGACGCCCTCGACAAACAGGTCGTGGGACAGCCAGCCTACGTGCCGCCGGTGATGAACCGCTGTTGAGCAAAGCCACTAACATGGCGGCCTTAATGGTTAGAATACCTAGACCCTCCATGTACCCTCTATTAGACCCTAAATGCCCCTTATTTGGGACCATATACCCCTATTTGAGGGTACAAGGAGGGTCCTGGTAGGGTTTGGGGTTACACTATACCATAGTTCAGAAGCTGCCCCCACCCTGTAATAGTGACATAAGGATTATAATAGGGCCCTATTATAGTCCTATTGTACCACTATTACAGGGTGTGGGCAGCTTCTAAACCATACTTATAATAAGGAGCCCGCAAAACCCTATTAGAATTATTCAGGCCCCTACATGACGGAACTGGAGATGCGAAGGTTGCGGACATGCAGTCGAACAGGAATCCAGAGGGTCTATATATATACTACCATTCTGAAATTAGGCCTTATGGTTTTGGGGACCTTATTCCATAATGGTAGTGCATGTGGACCCTCTTGGCTCCCCTAACCCCTAAACCCTAAATCCTTAAACCCCAAACCCGTAAACCCTAAATCCTAAACCCTAAATCCTAGACCCTAAATCCTAAACCCTAAATCCTAGACCCTAAATCCTAAACCCTAAATCCTAAACCCTAAACCCTAAATCCTAAACCCTAAATCCTAAACCCTAAGCTGTGAACCCTAAATCCTAAACCCTAAGCCCTAAGCCTCAAACCCTAAATCCTAAACCCTAAGCTCTGTATATGGTCCCCGTCGTTGGGAAGATGCTCTTTCTCCAAGGGGAACAGGAGGGACCCTAAATAAGGACCCCTAGGTAATAAACCCAGCACGCTGCCGCGTAAAATGGGGTTTAGGTTTAGGGGTTTAGGGTTTATAGGGGTTTAGAGGTTTAGGGTTTAGGGGTTTAGGGTTTAGGGGTCTTAGTTATTACCTATACTATTTTTGGAGGGTCCCCTCTTATATCTATAGTATAATGGGTTTAAGGGTTAGGGGTTACTCCTTAACCTACTTGTCGGGTAACATTGGGGAACTAAAGGTTAAGATAACTTTTTTGGTAGTATAGGGATTATACAAGGACTATACCACCCCAAAACGGTTAAAGGTTACTGCTCGCGGCTTCTGGATAGTAGTTATGTAGGTTAGGATTTCGGAGAGTATACGATGATTAGGTACTTGGACCCTTGGGGGTAATAAATACCTATGCTATGTTGTTTATATTTCTGGGGGGTGTCCTTATAATAAGTATAGTATAGTGGGTCCCAAAACCATATTCCAAGTATTCAGGCCGCTACATTATGCAGCCAAAGCCTTCATGACTGTGGACGAAGACTAGGACCCAGAGTAGGCCCTTATTCCCTTTTTTAGGGTTTAGGTTACCTTATAATCCCCTTTAAACCAAAAATGGCACCCTTTTTATTCCTAGGTTACTCTAATGTCTAGAAGAAGAAGATAGCAGCACTCGTTGCTATGGCTGGGGATGCCGTGTCTGGATCGAATCGATCCTCCCCCAAGTTCTGCAACTGTAAGAAGAAGTCCAATCGGCACATCCTGTGAGTGTGATGGGCATGTCACTCCAGGCTATACTTGGAAGGGCAGGGGACTTAGTAAGTAGGTTATAAGTGGGGTTATAATTGGGGTAACTCTCTTTGGGGTACTTATAACTCTACCTATGATCTACTTGCCAAGTCCCCTGCCCTTCCAAGTACCCTGGTCAGGTTTCGGAATGTGGCCCGACTTATGACCTAACACCCTAACTCCAAGCCCCATGTCCTAAACCCTACAGCATTTGTAAAGCCTGAGCCTTGTAAACCCTATACCCTAAACTTCTCGCAGCTAGAACCCCGTGAGCTCTACACCCGTAATTAAGGAATATAGCTTCCATCATATTGGTCTTGATCTCCCGCGCATTACGGTGTAGATTTAACGGGCCACGCACACTATGTAGTGGCTGCTTCAGTTTTAAATGGATCTTTAGGGGTTCAGAGAAGTCTCCGTTTCGACCCTTTTTTGCAAATTTCAGTACACATCATTGTCAGCAGCAGTTCAGGTGTACGCCCTACACTCTACACAGAGCCTTTATCCATACTGCTCCGATGTAGTCTTGCGCTTCAGCCCAAAATACTTACCTGTGGTAGTTACAATTGTACCCCCAAAGATAAGCATAGCACTCAGCAGCTCCCTTTGGTGCCAGAGCCGTGACATGTGACTTCTTCTTGACTCCTTCGAGCCATAAGGCCTATCCGATTCCTTAAGTAATCATACATGCAACACCGCTTAAAAACTTTGCGAACCGGTTTGCAGAACCTCATGACTCACGACCCCCTAAACCCTAAACCCTAAAACCCTAAACCCTAAGCCATCGAACCCTCACCACCTTCCGCCCACGGTCGAGGCTCTGGAGACGGCAGAGCAGGGTGTACAGCCGCCACCCCAGCATGCACCAGCACCCTTCAGAGTTTGGTTCATTAGGGGCTGTTTTAAGGGGTTCAGTAGGGGCTTTTTTAAGGGGTTCATTGTTGTGGTTATAGTATCACCCTTCAGAGTTCATTAGGTTCAAAGGGCTGCCTTTGAAGGGTCTATAAGGGTTACTATAAGGGGATTTATCAGGGTACTAGAATATAGGGGCCTTGAATGATTACCAATACTTTTTTAGGGGTTCATTATTGTCGTCATAGTATTAAAAACCCCCAAACCCTGTTCGTTCCCTGCAAGCAGTGTGGACATAGGACGGGTGCACTCAGTCAAGCTCTGCTATGAGCTTGCCTTTTTGACGGAGTCAGATGTGATCAAAGTGACAGGCCTGACCCCCAAGACTCTGAAAGGGCAGAGGCACGCTGACTGGCTGGCACTTCTCCCTGCAGGGAGCTGACACAAAATCAAGATCCAGGGGATGCGCCATGTCGAAATCTCCTCGAGGGCCATGGTGACCCAAAACGATCGCATCCTTGACCCCGCTTGGCAGGTTCGACATGGACAGGCGAAGGACCTTCTTGATTCCCAAAGGATCCCATTATTAGATGCTTGGTTTTAGGATAGTAGCTCTGTAGTTCAGGATGTCGGAGAGTATATTATTATGAGGTACTTGGACCCTTGGGGCTTGATTAAGGTGTTAGGGTTTGAGGTTATAAGGTTTCAGGGTTCAGAATCTGGGGGCCTGATTTTTCAATACTAGGGAGACTGGGGCTGGGTAGGCTTTGTTTCAACGCTTCAAGGGGGCTAGAGTCTAGCGCAGAAAGGTTTTGAAGGTTTGTCTTCATTTCTCACTCTCTCTATCTCTCGCTCTCTCTTTCTTGTGGAATGGGTTTCAGCAAGGTCTACAGGAGATATTAGGGGTTTCAAGCGTCCGACGTACATAATGATGCGGTATTTGGGTGCAGGAGAGTCGTATTTTGACGTTAGTAGAGTGAGAGTGTCTATGATTTGTGGCGGTAGTGCGCCATGCGTTGGCCACGCTCGGGAGCGCCGGGCACCAAGTCGTGGATGGACCCTCCACGTCCTTGATCCTAAACCCTAAATCCCAAAATCCTAAACCACAAAAATCCTTAACCCCAAAATCCTAAACCCCAAAAATCCTAGACCCCAAAACCCTAAACCCCAAAATCCTTAACCCCAAAACCCTAAACCCAAATCCTAAACCCTAAACCCAGGCAGGAAGGGCAGAAGACTGGGTTGTCCTTTGGGACCTTTTTAATTTCCACTGCTACTTTGTAGAGAACCATTATAGTAAATGATTTTCAACGGGCTTAAAGGACAATTCAGAAGACAGAAAGAACGTTGGAGTGGTTGTCACTCCGGCAAGCTGGCCAACCTAAGCCCCAAGGAAGAACCAGGTAGCTCTCACTAACCCGAGTAAGGGTCCATGAACCCATAGACTATTAACTTTGGGCCTAAAGTCCCTATATAGGATCTGCGAAGTCAAAGCCACAGCATTTACGCATGAACCCTTGGGGTCAGGTTTCTTGGCTATAGGTATACACACTCTCAACCTGCTCCCTAAGGCCAATAGTATCGTGAATCCCAAGTCAGGCCCGCGATATAGCTCTAGGTTAACCATCATCAATTGGGAGTTTCCGAAAATTAGGGGTACCGTATTTTGGAGTCCTTATAATAAAGATCCTACTATTTAGGGTGCTGTATTAAATTAAGGCCCCTATTGTCGGAAACTCCCAAATCGAAACTCGGGCCCTAAGCCGTAGAATCTTAAATTCAAGTTTGAGCCGAAAGGCCGAAGCCTTTTGCCTGTAACTGAGCATCAACCCGAGATCCAAGCCCTAAGCCCGATACCCAACTGGCCTACCCTTTCTAAGGACTTATGTAAAGAATTTATAGTAGGGAACTTTAAAAGCCGAAGGTTGTATATGGTCCAGGTAAACCTTAGGCCCAAGCCCTGAACCCCACCGTTGCCTCTCGACTGAGCATTCTGCTCAGGATTTGTCCGAAGTATGGACCTTTGTGGCGCCGCCCTCGGCGGAGGGTCCCCTACGGGTCCATGTGCCCATAAGGGCTTTTTTATGGCTCCTCTTAAGGCCCCCATAGGGGCTCCGTTACAGCATATGCTGCGGCATTCAGGTAAGTCGGCACTTTAAAGTTCTAAAGTATATCTTACCCTACTACCTAACTCGTGGGTTCTTCCCTAGGACCGGGAACAGAACAGACCTCACTTTGGCATTTAGTGTCACCTAGCAACAAACAGTATCTCCAGCCTAGGTGACCAGATCAAGAACATGGCCAGAGCGTGTAGTTTGCAACTTGATATCGCAAGGGCGACGGGAGCTGACGGCTACCTATACTTGGCGGCGAGAAGCAAACTGCGGACGGACGACGCATCTGCGTGGGCCCTGACACTCCTGACAAAGATTGCCTGCAGTGAGCTCACAGCAGGTCAACCGATCCTAATTAGCCAGCACTTGGAGGATCATGGGACTTAGTAACTAGGGTTATGGATAAGGTAACTATACTTGTAACTCCAATTAGGGTACTTATCACCTTACTTACTAAGTCCCACGATCCTCCAAGCAGGCTTTGCCCGCGGACATGCGGCTGTTGGAGGTGCGATCTGCAGATTACACCGTGGAACTTGCTCTCACTGACTCCGAGGTCTAGGTCGCCTGCTTCGAGCTGTTTTGTTCTGATGGACATACCATACGAGAGAACCATGACCCCTAAGGGTTCAAAGTACCTACATAGTAGAAAGTAGGGTGTCTATATTAGGAATTACTATTATGATTTCGGGAAGAAGTATCCCCCAGAACAGTACCTAGGACCCTTTGGGGACTGCCATGGATGTTGTGGTCATCCACATTGCAGTCTTTAGTGGTGTCCTCGTGAATAGCACTGCTGCCGAGGTCCAGGCTCCGATTGAGGAAGAATGCCCTGTTTTCTTAGGGTTACTTAGAATATTTTTATTTTTTGGTTATTATAACCCCTAAGAAACAGATAAAATGTTAATTTTCGCTAGGGTTCTAAGTTCAGTATAGTTTTGTCGGAGATGAACCGTCTTATGGGATCTGACCAAGATGCCGTGTTGAGTGCCACTGTCAAAAGGGCAGTGCGAAAGTCATCTCACGGATTTAAAACGCCGTTCGCCGACGAAGAGGCAGCAAAGGAACGCATCATGAGAACGACAGATGTTGTCCGAGATATCCCCATGACAATCGGAATCGACCGAGCAGTGTTGGACACTGTGGGTATCAATCCCAACCCGTGGTCCCTGAGGCCGTGCATCCAAACCTTAAACCCCTAAGACCCTAAACCGTATACCCTGAAGACCCTACACCCTAAAATCCCGAAATTCTAAAGCCGCATGCCCCAGCCATCCCTAGACCAAACTGTCAATCCATTAGGCCAGAGCCGGTGCTCTGAGGTTCGTTCTCTTGCGGCAAGCGGAGAAGCTGCACGGAGCTGCGGCAGTGAAGCCGGCAGCTTAGAGAAACGCCGCGGCTTCGCCAGCTCGAACGTTAGTGCGCTTAGGGATTTATACCGTCATTTATTAGCAGAAGTCTTCAGTGTCTCCTGGCGCTTGGTATGAGAGGCGAACGGGGCTCAACTAAGGGTCTACAGGGTTTAAGGTATAGAGGGTCAGGGTTTACTGGGTTTCTGTTAAGGAATTTATTTTAAGTTACCATAACCACGAAATCATATTGTTTACTACAGATTCTTATTATGATAACTGAAATTAAACTCCTTAACAAGAACCCAAAATCACGAGGTTGAAGTCTTGTCAGCATTTTGGATTACACCGCCCTTTGCAGTCCGTGTCTTTGAGGCACATTGCCGAGAACTCCCAATTACGTCGCTCCAATGAAATCACTGTTTGCAGTTTTGCAGGGCTGGTCCCACTTCAGCCCAAACCCAAAGGGTCCAAGTATCATTATGGTATATACAGGGTGTTTTAGAGATCTAAGTATATACCATACTGATACTTGGACCCTTGGGAAAGCTTTGTATCAAGCTCTGGAGAGTTCATGGGTACTTACACCCACAGTTTGAAGGTACCTCGATGCGGGATTTATGGCCAGACAGTCGTCCTAGTGACTCCGAACTGTTGCCATGCGTCCTGTACCCTTAGGGTCCATGTACCTATATATATATATATATATATATAGATAGATAGATAGTTATATAGCATATACTCTGACTCATGAGGTGGCTCTTAAGACAGGGAGCCCTGTCAAGTCAAAGTACGTACTGCGTAGGTAGATGAATACCAACTACATACACTGCGCTTTGTTGCCTAAACCGTAAAGGCCAAACTGCCAATCCCCTAAACTCGTTTAAACCCCAACTCCAAATCCCAAGCTGTAAGCCCTAAACCCAAAGAGTGTGCCTTCAGGCCAATTACAGAGGATTATGACCCTCAGGTTCTGTATAAGGACTCGCATTAAATGGTCTGTAACCCTTAAGGCAATCCTAGACAGGACTTTGGGGCTGTTTTGAGCCCTTTCTTAACCCATACCAAACCCATGTGCGGTACGCCCACAAAGCCCTCAAAGAAACCCTGTTTTTCTCAGGATTCCTTTACGGCCAAAGTATATTGCTATGTGAGCCTCAACCATAAACCGCTTCTGGGAAGCCTTAACAGAATCTTGAAAGGAACCCTAAACCCTAAACCCTTATCCCTGAACCCTAAACCCTTATCCCTAAACCCTAAACCCTATCTCAGGGACTACGCTCCGAGTGCCATTGCGAGCATTTGCAGCGAGCTTCACTGGAAGATCCACTTCGAGGCCGCTCGGAGGGATTCTTGTGGCGTGTGGGAGCTTACTTGGAGACTCATGGGACTTAGTCACTAGGATTCTCAAGAAGGTAGCTATGTCAGATAACTCCAATTAGGGTCCCTATAATATAACCTGATTTACTAAGTCCCATGATCCTCCAAGGAGCCCCTTAAGGAACCCGGCTCAGGGTTTCGGGCCGTCGAGGCGGCTCGGATCTATTTTTGAGTCTAAGGGTTGCTCCCCCCAACTACCCCATGGGTCCAAGTATCCAATAGTCATATACTCTCCAAAACCCTAACCTACATAACTACTATCCTAAACCCGAAGTTGAAGACCTAGTTATTGGGTCCTTTGGACCCTTGGGGTACCTTCTAATATACCCCAAACAGCCTACTATTGAGGGCCACAAGGGCTCTATTAAAGGGGCTCCTTCAGGGGGTGCTATAAACTAGGATGCCCAGTAGTACCCTTATTCCCTTTTTGTAGTCCTAGGTTCCTTATAAAGTTACCCAATACCAAAAAGAGAGGCCTTTTTATTCTTAGGTTACTGGGTATCCTAGTAACGACTGCGACCCAGGGGGGTTGGGGCTTCAGACTATCGGTTCAGGCCACAAGGTATAAGGGTTTAGGGCGTAGGCGTTTAGGGGTTTAGGGTTTAGAGTATTGGGTTTGGGGGTTTAGGGTTTGGAGTATAGGGTTTAGGGTTTAGAGTCTAGGGGGCTTAGGGTTTAGGGTTTAGAGTATAGGGCTTAGTTTTTCGGGTTTGGAGTATAGGGTTTAGGGTTTAGAGCATAGGGGGCTTAGGGTTTCGGGGTTTAAGAGTATAGGGGGCTTAGGGTTGGAAATGTTGGCCGGCAAGGGCGAATTTTACGAGGTCCCTGCTGTCACACCGTAAACCGCTTCAGCCCGGGGTATCACTCTTACTCCCCCAAATCATAATCGTATAGAAACCCTACAGTCTAACATATACTTGGAGGGTCGGGGGACTTAGTAACTGGTTATTTTAGGGACTTATAAGTACCATAACCCCAATTAGGATCCCTTTTAGTGTACTTATAAGTCTACTTACTACCTGCTTACTAAGTCCCCCGACCCTCCAAGTAGGTACTTTGGACCCTTTGGGCCTAAAAGGGGCCCTTCCTGATGCGATCAGGGCTTTGACTTCTCATGCCTCCATGGTTTGTGGCTTGGGGCCCAAAAGTTTGAACGCAAATCCCAAGCCGTAAACATTGAAAACCCGAATAAACCACCAAACTCCCAAACCCTAAACCCTATGGGATCTGAGTGGAGTCGAAATCACCGGCGTTTTGGGACTTCAGAGCGGGTTGAGGGTCTCAGGTTACACCCTCAACCCAGAAAGGAACATCAAAATCTGGGCTTTGTAGTGCATTCTCAGATTCCGCCCGAGGTTTGCAGCCTTCGCAAGCCTAGCTTAGAGGGCTGGATTACGGGATGACTAGTAATCATATACCGCCGTGATCCTCCTTGAAGTCACGTATACTTGGCGGGTCACGGGACTTAGTAGGTAAAGAGACAGGTACATTAACTGGGCTTATCATCATATAGCTGCAAGTAGAGCTACTTTACTTATAGCCATATAGTTACTAAGTCCATCAATCTTTAAAAGGACCTGCTAAAGCCCTGCAGGTAGCTGCGGCCTGTAGCCGCGAAGGTGCACTGCAGCAGCCGCTCGGCCAGGAACTTTGGAATTAGGGTTGAGGGTTTAGGTGAGTAAACAGGTCACGTTTCCCACTTATCTTCCTTTCTGAGTGTAAAGCCCCTTACAGTACCGTTTATGTGGGGTATCCCTTTGTGTTGGGTTTGTTGCGAGACAGCTGAAGCCCAAGAGCACATATCCCTGTCAAGTATATGCTATCCACCAAAAAAGCCCTCAACCGCAACTCGGAGACTTCCGTTCCGCACACACACCCACACAAAACACACACACACATACATACATATATATATATATATATATACATATATACATCATCCATGCACTCTTATCCCTAACCCTAGACCCTCAACCCCAAACCCCAAGCCCTAAAATGCCCCAAACCACAAAAGCAAACACCGCTGTGTTTCCGAGGTGCCGACAAAGCGTTGGCCGAGCCGCGCTGCTGTGCCCCAGGCGCCCCGAAGCCCTTTGAGGGCTCTGGTTCCTAAGAGCCCTTTAAAAAAACCCACGCCCCAAGTTCCCTTTAATAGAGGCACCGACTCATAGTTTAAGCTTTTTGGGCCTACAGACCATGCTATATATAAGGCTTTTGGGCCTTATGGCAAGGCTCTTTCAGGGTGCTTTTTTACACGTGCCGTAACATTTGGGGACCTAGAATTAGAAGGGACCTTAATTTAGAGAACTACCTTTATAGGAATGTTATAGAATCCATTACCGACGCCTTTAAGGAACCCTGAAAAGCTGCCCTTAGAATCAGAAGGGACCCTAATCTAGACCAGGGCCTGCCCTGATCTTGGAGCTGGCACCTGAACACTAAACAGGGCTTAGGGTTTAGGTTTTAGGGTTTAGGGTTTAGGATGTAGGATTTGGGGTTTAGGTTTTAGGGTTTAGGGTTTAGGGTTTAGGATGTAGGATTTGGGGTTTAGGTTTTAGGGTTTAGGGTTTAGGGTCTAGGGTTTAGGTTTTAGGTTTTAGGTTTTAGGGTTTAGGGTTTAGGGTCTAGGGTTTAGGTTTTAGGTTTTAGGGTTTAGGGTTCAGGCTTTCGGCTCAAGTCCACACCGTGCGTGCAGCCTTTCGGAGGCATCTCCGATGGAAGATTTGGCTTCTGGCTGCGAGGCCTTGTGAGGATTTATGGCTTTGATTTTATTTGGTTCAGGGTGTAACTTACAGTTGTGAGGATTTAGTTTTTTTTTTGTTTGTCTTGTGTGGGGGGGGGGGGGGGCTGAAAATGTCACATCAAGACATGTTGTATTCTTGTGGGGGATGGTGATGTATGACGCAGAACTGCTCGTACAGACTAACATGATACATACACATATACCGTATACACTTATACATAGGTACATAGCAAGCATAGGTACACACAGTATATATATATATATATATATATATATATATATATTCTTACATACATGTACATATGTCATATATCATACATCATATATCACATATCATTATCTATCTATCTATCTATCTATCCATCCATATATATATATATACCCGATATATCAGCTCAAGCAGACCAGCATCGGCCTTCCAGCCACAACCTTTGCCACTGCAGGGCGGAGCTGCGCGATGGCTCGGCTGACGTGTGTCGCAGGCACCTCCCTACTCGTCTTGCTTGTGCTGTCTCCTTCAAGGCTACTCCAGGGCTGACAAGATCTTCTACACAAAAGCCTTGATGATGTGCCCCCAAATTATTAGGTGCAAGGTCGATACTTGAACGCTTGACATACTGGGTTATCTAGGTTTTACATGCAGCATTATGAGTTTCCAATTTGAGGCTGTGCCGCTGTAACCCTAATTACAACCTACTTCTTAAGTCCAGATCGACGAGTATGTATGTTCAAGCCCGAATGCAGAACCCCCACAGCCGAACCCTCAAATTCATGCGATTCCCGCAACACGAACTTACTCTGAACCCTTCACTCTAAAGTGCCGTGATCTCCTATAAACCCCTAAACCCTAAACCACTAATTAAACCCCTAAAAGTTAGGTACGGCCCCCACACAGTAAGAGTCTATAATAGGGCTATGATAAAGGTCCTACTATATCTATATTATGAATATTATTCAACTATTACTGAGTGGGGGCCGTACCCAACCGAAAACCCCTAAACCCTGAACCTGTAGCCGACAAAGCCGTTGTGGCGGCAGGCTCTTAGTCCAAGCTCGTGTGGATGCACCGAGCCGCATGCAGGCCAGACTCCTTACGATACAGGCCTTACCCAGAGGCCCAATAGTAGTTCCTTTTTGGGATTACCTTGGATTCTAAATATGAACCCCAAAAGGAACTACTATGGGGCCTATGGGTAATACTTATTAAGACTATTTTTGGGATTGCTCGTTATATTCATAGTCGAGTATCCCCCCAAAAAAGTATCTAATTGTCGAGACACCTTTTTTACGGAAGTCCATCTGCGTGCAGTAGGGTTGAGGTCGTGAGGGTTTAAGGGTTTGGGATTAAACTAGGCCTCCCAGTGGGCCCTTTTTCCCTTGTTGTAGTCCTAGGTTCCTTTTAAAGTTACCCAATACCAAAAAGGGAGCCCTTTTTGTCCCAGGTTACTGGGCATCTTAGTAAAGGTTTATTCGATCCTGCAGCACATGGATAGGGCTGGCCGCAGGCCCCATAGTAGTTCCTCTCTGGGGTTCACACTTAGAATCCGACAGGGCAATAAATCCAAAAAAGAAACTACTATGGGGCCTCTTGGTAGCCACTATATAGCCTGTCTTTGTATGGGCATTCACGAAGAAAGGGGACATTTCAGGTTTGTTGTGTTGTATTGGGGGTTCCGGGATAGTATATAATTTGATTCCATTTCGTCATTTCGTTTCCAATATTGGCCCATAGAGACCAGGTTTGGTCTTTATTAGGGCTTAGCCCCATGGGTCCAAGTACCTAATAATCATATACTCTCCAAACTCCTAGCCTACATAACAACTATTATCCTAAAACCCAGTATCTAAGTATTGGGTCCTTTGGACCCGCGGGGTTAGGGGTTAGGGTGCGCATACTTACGGTATTGCAACCTGGACACCCTTTGCCTTGCAGCGCAGTACCACGCCATAAGAGTCCAAAGGACCCGCTAATTAGGCACTCGGTTTTGGGATGGTAGTTATGTAGGTTAGGATTTTGGGACGTATATGATTATCATTACTAGGTACTTGGACCCTTGGGGACAGGTTTTGTTGTGAAAGTCCTGCACTTTCTATCTTCTGGGTTTCGGACTTAAGGAAGGCAGCACAAGAACTTGCAATGATCAGCAAGCAGGCTTGAGGACTACCACGTGGGACCCGGTCAAAGATTGTATGCTTTCTCTTAATTGTTGTGATATCGGAACGCTGCAGAACCCTAAACCCCCAAACCCCCGTCATGGAACCCTAACCCGTAAACCCTAAACCCTGAACTCTAAACCCTAAACTCTGAACAATAAACCCTAAGCCCTAAACCCTACACCCTAAACCCCAAAGGAACCCCTATAGATCCCTTTTAAAGGAACCCTAAACCCTAAGCCCTGAACCTTAAACCCTGCTGACACAAAGAAGAGCAGAAAAGCTTCCCCAAGCCAAGTACCTAATAATCGTATACTCTCCCAAATCCTAACCTACAAAACTACTATCCTAAACCCGAGTACCTAATTATTAAGGCCCTTATATAATCGGACCCTTATAGTAACTCTTTTAAAGGAACCGTATAGAACCCTTTAAAGGAACCCTAGTTATTGCATCCTTTGGACCCTTGGGCTTCGCCAGCGCCCCCCGGGAGGTCGCCGTCTGCATCGAGCGGGCCCGTACCGAGGAGGGGGGCTTCGAGCTTGTTTACCTTTTTTTCCCTTTTTGTAGTCCTAGGGGTTTAGGGTTTAGGGGAGTCGTAGGTTCCTTTTTAGTGCAGTAGGGTTGAGGTCGTCAGGGTTTAAGGGTTTGGGACTAAACTAGGCCTCCCAGTGGGCAAGTTTTCCCGTTTTGTAGTCCTAGGTTCCTTTTAAAGTTGCCCAATACCAAAAAGGGAGCCCTTTTTTATTCCCAGGTTACTGGGCATCTTAGTTTAGCGTTTGGGGGGGCTTTGGGGTTTAGGGTTTTGGGTTTAGGGTCCTGGCTTGGGGGTTTAGGGGTTTAGGGTGTAGGGTTTTGGGGGGTTTGGGGTTACACTGCCCCCAAAGCCTAAACCGCCGAAAAGCTAGGTGGTTCAGGTTGTCTTCTTCGGGTTAGGGTTCAGGGTGTTAGCTTAATTCCTTCCAGGATCCCACTTGATGGAGCACGGACTCGAGCTGAGCGCGGAACTTTTGTACTTGGTACACAATCGGATGGAAGCTCAGCCACTTGGCCGTGCGTCAAAACTGGCGGGGATGGACTTTCGTATTGTGGAAGTTATGGCCGCATTCCTGGTGAATGTGCCACTCGCAGTGACGAAATCTTAGCTGTTACGCTTGCCCCGGTATTAGGTGAACCTGTCACATATGCTCCTACAACTGAAGCAGTGCGTGCGGCTTTTGCCGAGAGGACTGACAAGAAAGCCGCAAGGTCTCGAGTGCCCAATGCTGTTGACTGACGACGACAGGAGTAAGATAGGCAAGTTCGTCAGTATTGCCATGGGCTTCAGTGGCAACAGGAAGCTACATGTGTTTCTTGCGAACAGATCGAGTCCGACCTCAACCCTACAGACTCAAGTGAAGCAGGCTTGATATTGTCGGTATGGTGAGTGTATTAAAGGGTTGTTGAGGAGTAGCGAATGCACGTGCGCGACGATTTGGCGTTTTACTGCAATATGTTGTTATAATGATAGGCACAATACGCACCGTAAAGCTACAGCCCTAAACCCCAAACGACACCCCCAAACTCCTGTAAAGCACCTGCAAACCCGCGCGAAAGGAGTTCGCGGGCAACGACACTGCCTATGTACTGAAGGCCCTAAACCCAGCTACTGCACCTAGAACGTAAACCCAAGCCCTATAAGCCTTAAACCGTAAAATCAACCTCCCTCTGGGAGGAGTTCCTTGGCACCCTAAGCCCTAAACCCTAAGCCCTATAAATCCTAGACTGTACACCTTAAGCGGACCCCCCCAAAACTATGGGAGACACCAATACGATCGTAGGGGGTTGCTTTTTGTAATTTAATATAATGGTTCTTAAAAACCCGATTTTAATTATTAAGGCCCCTACATCATAGAACCCTACCATACTTCCACTATTAAAAGCCATTATAAGGCCCCTACATTACGGGAGGAGTTCCTTGGCAATTTGAATGGGACTCGCGTGGCCATTGGCGAAGCCCATGCCTGTGAGGGCCACGACTGGAAGGCCGATCAGACCCCGTTTTCTCCCACCCAAGACTAGGACCTAGAGTAGGCCCTTATTCCCTTTTTCTAGGGTTCAGGTTCCCTTATAAGCCCCTTTAAGCCAAAAAGGGCACCCTTTTAATTCCTAGGTTACTCTTGGGTCTAGAAGAGCACAGGCTAATCGACTCTCCTAGAGTTTAGGGTTTAGAGTTC